CAGGAAATAGTCTTGAAGGCAAAAATGCAAAATCAAAATAACCATTAGCACCATCTTAGAGAGCTGAATGGCGCAGTATACCTGAATGATGAGGATGTAGGGACAGATGCATTCTGCTCCTCCCTGCAGCTCATGGCGGGTTTCCTTTGGTGAGGATGCCTTCATCATAAGACTTGAAATTGCAGGACTCGAGAAGAGGGAATCCAGCCTCCAGTGCATCCATGGCAGGTCCTGCCTGCATTCAGAGGAGGGCCAGGCATGCCCTTGCATAGGAGAGGAATGTCATGGTGGTCAGAATTCCCACCCCAGCCTAGTTCTGCCTCCTGACTGATGATTATATTGAATACTGGTCGGTGATGGCCTGTAGACCCAGAGTTCAGACCTACAGTGGAATAATGGTGTTGGATGAGAGCTGGAGGGTCAGTGCACTGAATTCAGCATGCCTCTCAGGAGCCAGTGTTGAAGGACACTTGGATACCTCTCCACATGAAGTGTATTCCTTGTGCTTTGGTACCTTCCTTCAGACCAGCAAGGGTAGTGGATCTTCATCCTGTCATGCTTGGGTGGGGGGGATCAGGTCATGAGCTGAAGATCAGGGGCCAGATTTAGTGTTTCATGGTTTGTCTACTTGCTTTGGGTGATGCCAAGGCTTTCTCACCTCCGTGAGAGGGAGTGATGAGTGACAGACTAGACACTTTGGTAGGATCCCGCCATGTAATTCCCTTAGCCCAGATCTGTGCCCTTCCCCATGCTGACTCCTGGCTTCTTCATGAAGACCCCCCGACTGGTACTAGAGTCAAGGTTGGGAGAGAGGGATGGGCAGTTCGGGTAAAGAGCTCTAGGCAATTAGGTGACCACTGGAGCAGGGTTGTATGTCTGTCTTGTTTGTCAGGACATGGTGCTGTCCTACAGTTGAGACCCTGGCAGATGTTCTCCATGTAATGTGTGAGGGAATAGGTCCACCCCAAGGTGAAAGATTTGCTCCCCAGGGTCAACAAAAGGAGCCACATCCAGTTCTTCAGATCCTCAGTATGGGATGCTGCAAATGGCCCCACCCTCAGCTCTGCCCCCAGCCCTGAGAACTATCCCTAGCCAGTCCCCTAGTAGCGCCCCTAGACTCCAGCTTGTGCCCTTACATGTTTATAGGAGTCTAAAGAACCATCCTCCCCATTCCCCAAAATCAGCATGTTTGACTGGTGTATGTGGTGTGTGTGTGTGTGTGTGTGTGTGTGTGTGTGTGTACATTTGCACACAAGTGTACTCGTGTATCAGGGCTGCAGTGGCTTCCCGTTCCTCAAGAGCTTTGGCTTCAGACACTAGGAGCCTTTTCTTTGCTTGTCTGTGATTCCTGACCTGGTCTGCACTGGTCCTTGAGTCCAGAGACCCTTGAGGGCAGGTGAATAGAAGATCCCTGACAAGAATTTTCTGAATGAATGAGAAAAGGGATGAATGCGTGCAAATGGGTGAAGTGTCAAGGCGAGAGAAATTGGGGCTGACCCAGGTTTCTGCGAGTCCCAGGCCGGGCCTGGGGCCAGCTTGTCCTGCCTCGGCTGCGCTGGCCCGGGGACAGCACACCAATTACCCCAGGCTCTTTCCAAGAATTCCTGTTTCCCTTACTTGCTCTGAGCCTAAGCGCTGGCATGGGTTAGGACCCATCGCGGTATTCTGCACCTGCTATTGGGATTGTGGGGTGCTGGCTCTCATAGAGCGTTCAGAGGTCCCCAGAGCTATCGTCTACTTCTGACATGCTGCTTGTCTCTACTTCTGGCGTCCAGTGTCTGGAGCATCGGTGATGTTCCAGGCCCGACAAGGTCAACACGGGCACAGACTGCAAAAGAGCTTGTGGTGGGCACAGATCTTCCTTGGTAGCTTCTGTGTTTCTGGGTGTCTGGTTGATAACCAGAGACCCTTCTGACTGACAGATGTTGTTTGTGGATGCTTCCAAGAGTGTTTCTTCTACCTGGCTGGCCTTTTGTGGGCTGTGTATTTATAGGACTGTACATCCATGGATCCATCCAGTCTAAAAATTCTGAACCTAGAATGAATGTGTCACCTCTCCACTAGGCCCCTGGGATACATTTATGACCAAAGCAGACATCTTCCTGTTCCCATGTAAAGCAATAAGTTTTTGTTCTTTTTTTTCCCCTCTAACTAAGATATAGAGAGAGGTTGGGGCATATTGGCTTCAGACAAGGGATGCAAAGAGGTTTATTATGAGGCTATATGAGTTCAGACTGACATGAGAAAAAGCCATCTGTGCAAGGATGATGTTCTAGAACATTCCATCTCTCCTCAATTTAAGTTTCAACAATGGTACCTGGAGACCAATGGATTAAAATACCTTTTAAAAAGCTTTATTGATTCTGATAAAAAAATATTGGAACATAATCAAAGAATTCCATATTCAAAAAAGTATTCATTATTTGACAAGCATGAAGGGGTTAGAAGTGGGGGGTGATATTTTACTCCATACCCCTCTTCTCTTCTGATTCACAGACTGGGTGTATTGCATCTTCAGTCTCTCCTGCCTCCTACTGAATTGGCATTAGCTCATCAGCAACAACCTGAAAATAGCTTTTCTTCCTGGATTCATGTCCTCAGAGCTGGCCAACTGGGCAGTCTTTGGAAGGGAGCCAGCCATTTTGGTTTGGACATCCCAAACTTCCCCAGAGCTGGTGGGTGGAATTCTGAACTCTCCCAGGTGACTTTAGGGTCATGATCTGTGTCTGCGCAGGAGAGAAGCCAAAGCAGCTGGATGGGGCTTGAAGGAAAACCGCTCAGGACAGTGGCCCTAGGAGCTGCTGGGGTCCCTCCTGGGGTATCAGGCTCCAGGCTTCAGTCCTGCCCAAGCACTTCCACATATTAGGCCTCTCCTCCCTGCTGCTCAGTGGGTGCTGTGGGTGCTGGGGCTGGCTGGTCTTGTCTACCGGTATGTTTTCAAGGACAGAGCCTGTCATATGGTGGGAATTCAGTAAGTTTGTTGAATGAATGCAAGACTCTCCATGAGAAATTTTCTGACCATCCTCTAAAATGGGCCTATATGTTTGCTTTTTTCTATTTCATGTGTAGATTGCCAGCAGAAAAAAGGAGAGGTGGCAAATTGGATGTTTGCTTTTGCTGCAAGTGAACCCCTGTCTCCTCTGTGTGTGTGTGTGTGTGTGTGTGTGTGTGTGTGTGTGTGTGTGTGTGTGTGTTCAGTTATTGTTGTCATCATTCTCAGACCCAGCCTTCCTACACGGAGGAAGTTTCTCTCCGGCAAACAGACCTCCCTGTCTGTTTCCTTCTCTCCCTTGCAGATGGACGCACAGTTGCCTCCTCTTGCCAAGGAGGCCTGGGCTCCCGTTGGAGACCCCAGACACAGTGGGCCTGGTGGGAGGCCCAGCCGTCAGCAGGTCCCACCAGGTTAGAATGTGCTGCCCCTACAATGGTGCCCTGCTTCCAGAGGTCCCTGGAGAATAGCTTAACTTAGGCTCAGTCCCAGCTGAGGTTAAGCACCACTCAGGACCACCTGACTGGCTAGCACACCCAAATTCTGGGTTACAAAGAGGACAGACGTTCAGGGCATGCTCCAATAGCAGGAAAGGGGTCTGGAATCCTTCAGGTGGAAGGCTGATCTGGAAACGGAAGGATCCCAGATGTGGGTTCGTTGCCTCTCAAAAGCCAAGCTCTCCACATGCTCCTTTCCCTTGTCCCTGCGCCTGCCCCCGCTCCCCCCATGACTGCCTGGCTGTTCTATACAGGCTGGAGAGGGGGTAGAGAGGGCTATTAAAGACAATTATGCAGACCGGCTTTGAGTGGTGGTGTTTAACAAACAGCTTTGAGTTCTAATTTTCTGCAAAACACATAGTGCAGGTACAATTTGTACTCATTACTGTATATTGGGAAAGTTATTAAAAACACTCAAACTTGGTGGAGACTTCCTATGGCATCCTCCCTGGATTTTAATTGGTTTTTATCTAGTTCTATAAAAGATCTCTTTAAGCCCAATCAAAGTCCTGCCTCAGATACCAAGCCAGGCGGGTGGAAGGGGGAGCGCGTTCTGTGGACGAGGTTCTTTACCCCACCGAAATCGGACTGGTCTCAGTGATCCACTGAGATTCCAGCATGAGATAATTTATACTTCTTTTAACAGGCACAGTTGCCAAATGACAAAATAACAGTGTTTCGTAACATAAGGGTTAAATCTTAATCTCTGAGGTTTGCAAAGCCGCTACTCGCAGTCTCCTTAAAATTTAATATACCTCGTTAATGCTTCCTTGCAAACACTGAAGGATTTTTATGATTATAATCATGTGTTACAGCACCTAGTACTGTTTCTAAGCAGCATACTAATCAGCTTAATGAGATATTACTGCACTTTTTGTTGACTAAAGCAAAATCCCTTTTATTGTTCTAAAGCCTGTCCTTTACTTTATTTTTTCCCAAAACATTATCTTGTTTTATTATGTACTAGTAAATATCATGCCATTGGTTTCTTTCTTTTTTTTTTCTATTTTTTTTTTTGGCCAAATCATAAAATAATCTCTTTCATCTCAGACTGGCGAATATGTTGAATAGAGTAACTAAAACTGAAGTTCCGAGTGAGTCTGCGTGGTCTTGCACCTGAAGCCATTCTGCTGGAAGGCACACTTTGAAATGAACCAACAGGTGCAGGTGCAAAAAGGGGACAAGAGAAAAAGTTTACCACGTAGACCCTTGATTTGTTATTAGGTGTTGAATGTGGTAAAACATTAATAATTTAAATGCGAATGAATAATTGCAGTCTGTAAATAGAAAATACAAGGAAGATGATCTATCGCCAAAACAAATCGGAAGAGCAATGCCATATTGCATAATTGGCATTTAATAATTCATTTTTTTATTATTGTTTTTGACTATAATTCCTGAGCATTATTGTGTGTAGGTAAGGCATGAAATGCAAATTCCCCGCCAGCTGACGCTTGTGGACTGGCTGCCCCACAGTCCCAGGCCCGGCTCTGAACTCTCTCTTTCTTTCGCAGGGATGGAAGAAGCCAGTCTGTGCCTTGGAGTGTCCTCGGCGGCGCCGGAAGCTGAGCCCCACCTGAGCGGCCCGGTCCTCAACGGCCAGTATGCCATGAGTCAGAAGTTGCACCAGATCACCTCCCAGCTCAGCCATGCCTTCCCGGAGCTGCACCCGCGGCCCAACCCCGAGGAGAAGACCACGGCGCCGCTGGACGAGAAGGCCCACGTGCCCATGAGCAGCCAGCCCATGGGCAGTCAGATGGCGCTCCTGGCCAACCAGCTGGGCCGCGACGTGGACACCAGCCTCAACGGGCGCGTGGATCTGCAGCAGTTCCTCAACGGGCAGAACCTGGGCATCATGTCGCAGATGAGCGACATCGAGGACGATGCCCGCAAAAACCGCAAGTACCCGTGCCCGCTGTGCGGCAAGCGTTTCCGCTTCAACAGCATCCTCTCTCTGCACATGCGCACGCACACGGGCGAGAAGCCCTTCAAGTGCCCCTACTGCGACCACCGGGCGGCGCAGAAGGGGAACCTCAAGATCCACCTGCGGACCCACAAACTGGGCAACCTGGGCAAAGGCCGCGGGCGGGTGCGCGAGGAGAACCGCCTGCTGCACGAGCTGGAGGAGCGGGCCATCCTGCGGGACAAGCAGATGAAGAGCAGCCTGCTGCAGCCCCGGCCTGACCTGAAGCCCCCGCCGCACGCGCAGCAGGCCCCGCTGGCCGCCTGCAACCTGGCGCTGCCCGCCAACCACAGCGTGCCTGACGTGGCCAATCCCGTGCCCTCGCCCAAGCCGGCCAGCGTGCAGGAGGACGCCGTGGCCCCCGCCGCGGGCTTCCGCTGCACCTTCTGCAAGGGCAAGTTCAAGAAGCGGGAGGAGCTGGAGCGCCACATCCGCATCCTGCACAAGCCCTACAAGTGCACGCTGTGCGACTTCGCCGCCTCGCAGGAGGAGGAGCTCATCAGCCACGTGGAGAAGGCGCACATCACCGCCGAGTCGGCCCAGGGCCAGGGCCCCAACAGCGGCGGCGAGCAGTCGGCCAACGAGTTCCGCTGCGAGGTCTGCGGGCAGGTGTTCAGCCAGGCCTGGTTCCTGAAGGGCCACATGCGGAAACACAAAGACTCCTTCGAGCACTGCTGCCAAATCTGCGGCCGCCGCTTCAAAGAGCCCTGGTTCCTCAAGAACCACATGAAGGTGCACCTCAACAAGCTGTCGGTGAAGAACAAGTCTCCCAGCGACGCCGAGGTGCCCGTGCCCATGGGCGGCATGTCCCAGGAGGCCCACGCCAACCTCTACTCCAGGTACCTCTCCTGCCTGCAGAGCGGCTTCATGGCCCCCGACAAAGCCAGCCTGAGCGAGCCCAGCCAGCTGTACAGCAAAGGGGAGCTGCCCATGAAAGAGAAGGAGGTCCTGGGGAAGCTGCTGTCCCCCATCTCCGGCATGGCCCACGGCGTCCCCGAGGGCGACAAGCACTCCCTCCTGGGCTGCCTCAACCTCGTGCCCCCCCTGAAATCCAGCTGCATCGAGCGGTTGCAGGCGGCTGCCAAAGCCGCCGAGATGGACCCCGTGAACAGCTACCAGGCTTGGCAGCTGATGGCCAGGGGCATGGCCATGGAACATGGCTTCTTGTCTAAAGAGCATCAGCTACAGCGCAACCACGACGACACTTTGGCAAGCGCCGGAGTTATGTTTGATAAGGAGAAGCGGGAGTACGTGTTAGTGGGAGCAGATGGCTCCAAGCAGAAAATGCCTGCTGATTTGGTTCACAGCACTAAAGTGGGCAATCAGAGAGACCTGCCAAGTAAGCTCGACCCTTTAGAAGGCAGTCGGGAGTTTTTGTCACATGGGCTGAACCAGGCACTCGAGTACAACCTGCAGGGGCCCGGGAGCATGAAGGAGAAGCCCACCGAGTGCCCAGACTGCGGCCGCGTGTTCCGCACCTACCACCAGGTGGTCGTACACTCCCGCGTGCACAAGCGGGACCGCAAGGGTGACGAGGACGGGCTCCACGCGGGCCTGGACGAAAGGCGTGGCTCGGGCAGTGACCAGGAGTCTCAGTCCGTGAGCCGTTCCACCACACCCGGCTCTTCCAACGTCACCGAGGAGAGTGGGGTCGGAGGCGGGCTCTCCCAGACGGGGAGCGCCCAGGAGGACAGCCCACACCCCTCCTCCCCGTCCTCCTCAGGTAGGTCGGCGGGAAGTGGGCTCGGAGCCCTCGGACCCAGGACCCAGGCCTCAGTGGAGAAAGGGCCCACCAGGTCCTCAGATCCGAGATCACTGTGGCTTGCTGGGGACAGGCTGACCGGGCCCTGCCCACCTGCCCTGCTGGGCACGGGTGGACCCTGCAACTCTCTGGCTTCCCTGAGCACTGGTCATGCCCAAAGGGAGCATTCTTTCCTCTGTGGGGCAGGGCTGGCTGGTTGGACTGGTTGAGGCTAGGGTCAGGCCTTTTCTTCCCCACAGGCAGCCTTCTTCCGATCCCCTTCTTTGCCTGAAACCCTCCACGTCACTGTCACTTTGCCTCAGGACCCTAGCGGAGGACAGTATTCTGCTCTAGCCAGTCTTGCGTGTGTTAAAGTGAAGGCCCTTCCCATCTTTTACCCCCAAGTCCAGCCCCCCATTCTCTGTCTGGGCACCTTCCTCCAGGCCACATTATTTCCCATCCCCTTCCCAGATGATGCGTTAGACACGCCCCCCCCCCCCCCCCCCACCTGTCCCCATGACTGGCAGCACCTCTCCCCGATCTCCCCCAGTGGCTGGGAAAAGCACAGAGGTTGGAAACACAGATGCGTGACTGCATGTCTTAAATTGTACTGTGTTACACGGGCGATACAGCTTTGGGGTCTAAAATAGCAAAGCAGAAAATCTGTCATCAGAATGTCTGTGAAATGCTGAAGCTTCCTGGCCCAGTTTAAAAAAAAAAAACCCACCACCACCAAAAAACACTAGCCTAAGACAGTTAAATTAAAATCGCTACCAAGTAGCAGGTAAGCTGTTGCCTCCATCCATATTTCCAAAGCCCCTTCCTAATGGATAGTAAATTGAAAGTTATATCTCTAGCCCTTTATAAAGAAAGCATCTCGCTAATACTGTAATCATTCTGCAGCCTAACAACAGAGGAAATCATGCCATAACAAATACCCTGTTACTAATGGCAACATTGATTTCTGCAATCAGCCATTAAGTCTAGAAAATGAAAGACAGTTTGAGGCACCTCAAGGCTCTGCATGGCCCGCTGGTAAAGAGGAGGCAGCACATATTGAAGCTCATGCTTTAAAAGTTGTTGCTTCTCTCTGATTTTTGCCTCCTTTCTCCATTTCGATGAGTATTTCTATATTGAGGCAATTCCCTGCTACAGTTTATTAAGTAGATGCCAGTTTAGTTTTGTTGTTATTGTCATGCTTCAGTATACCCTTCTTCTAGGACAAAATTAGTATTAAAAGAAAGAGTGAGTCGGCTGGCTTATTACAAACCAGTAAAGAATTGTTAAGACACATAAATCTGAACCACACATTCCAGAGATTCCAATAGCACTTAATGCCGCTGCTTAAATACCCATGAAACACAGTCGACTCTCGAGTCCTGGGCTCGTCTGCGATTTATTTCTGGGGAGAGGCACCCAGACTGGGCTGCCAGGCTGGAGGGGCCGGGTCAAGGAAGGCTTCCCAGGTTCACTGACGGATGGCGGGAATTCTGGGCAAAGGATGTCAGGTGGCTGAGCCAAACAATTGCCGGGCACCCTGCTGTGGGGGGACCATTTCTGGCCTCCTGGGAAGAGGTCCCCTCTTCTGAGGAGAATCTGGAGGGAGGAACTTGCCCATGCACTCAGAAGTTTTGAGAGTGAGTGCTTAGAGTTCAGAGGGACAGATTTCAACCCCCCTCCTGGGTCTGCTGAAATGGAAAGGTCTCAGCAGAATATTCCCACACCAAATGCTCGGCTTTCTTAATGACGTGTTTAGCGTGTTTTTCTCACCTTCTGGCCAAGTGATAGCCTCATGCTATTCCTATCTCTGTTGCTTCCATAGCTCTAAATACCCAGTTGGAAAAAAAAAATCACCAAAAAACCCATTTTCCTTAAAAGTACCAACCGAGCACAGCACTCACAGGCGAAATAGAAGTTGAGTTGTGGTTATCTTCTCATTGGAGAGTACTGATGCTTTCATTTCTGGTTGACTTCTTTGTTTTCTTCATATTCAAATTGGACCTTTTTAACACGTTCTGACCAAGATGCAGAATTGATGGTATGCATCTAGGCAGCCCAAAACAGCATGTCCCTCCGTATTCAAGTTTTCCCGGGATTAGGACCCATAACCTACGCTGACTAGTCTTCTCTCTTATTTCTAAGAAGTGGGACTTGTCTAAAGTGTGATTAAAATAAGCATTTAAATACAAATCTTGACACAATAGGTATTTTATTATTACCTGTTAGAGAGAAACCTGCAAGGTGAAGGGGAGGGGGGAAAAATCCTTAAGCCCTTAAGTAAAGAAAGAAGTACTTATTAAGGCTTCTATTAAGAAGTAACGGCAAAACACGGTTTTACAAATTTCTCAGACGGCATAACAATGTCTCAAAACTTAATTTGCATCACTTGATTCTTTTTTTGTTGAAAACTGGGTCAGTAGGGCCTGAGAAACTATTTTTTCAGATCTTAACCAATGAATTCTTCTTTATAAATCGCTGCTCTTAACATGATAGTAGTTCTGAATTCATCATAAAAAACCTTTTTACAGAGAGCCTCTTAGAACAGATCTCCAGAAGAAGGCTTACAATGAGTGGCAGAGACTCCTTTGTTATCTGATGTAATTCTTTGCAAAGGAGGATTGGGAACGGAGTGGCTGTTTAAAAATGTCTCGCTCAGACCGAGACGAAGAAGGGGTCAAGTTTGCAATCAAACAGTTATTGCCGAGATGGGCGACTGTCACTGGCTAGGCTAATGTGGGATGCAGCTGTTTGTTATGTGAGCAAAAGAATGTTTGAATCAGTGAACATGTGAAAATGATTCCAGTGAACCAGAAAATGTGTTTGTTCTTTGGCTCTCCAAACTGCTGAGAACCAAGCTTAAGATCAACTGCGAAAACTAGGACCTTTGACAAATTGAGAGGTCATATTTTCTAACAGAAAATGGACAAAACTCGTCACACCGATCACTTCCCCATCTTTTTTCTTTGTTTTATTGTTGTTGTTGTTGTTTATTTGACTTCATCATAATTTCACACCAAAGTACATGTCATTTCTGCCTCTGTGTTCAATGCAAAGGGAAAACTATTTGGAAAGTGGCGGCTTATAAATTTTACTCTTTTATGACATTCAGAAAGCAGGGTGGCTGTTTTGATGCTTCCTCATTGCTGGCTCGCATGCAGAGGCTCTGATAACATTCGTCTCTCCATCTCTCTGAAACCTCTTGTAAGATTATGCTGCATGCAACTCTCTCTGAGTCAGAAGGCAACTCAAGTTCTGTTTCTTTAGATTTTGCTTTGGAAATCACGCTCAGAATAATTAAAACTTAATGTACTAAGAAACGATACTGTTCATTATATCCAACAGGGCAGTTACCTTCCGCGTTCCCCATCATTTTGGAGAGGGGCTAATTGAAGTGTTGATGGTGGGAAAGGGGTAATTGAATGCGCTGACCCTCTGTTCATTAAATAAAGTCGGCTAAGTTCCATGATCAATGGGAAGCCAGGGAGAGACACAAAGATGAAAATATCTTTAACCCCTACTCCTTCAGCTATCATATTTTGAGATGGACAAGGATTATTTGATCAGCTGGGCTGGAAGCTTCCACAGGCTCATCTTTTGTTGCCTGAGCTGCATTCCTGAAATCCTGGATCTCTGTCCCGTACATTGACCACAGCTTCAAAGGCCTTTATCTGGGGCTCGCTTGCATTTACATCGGGTGGATAGTGATATGATAGATTTTCTTTCTTTTCCACCTCTTTTTCTCATGTGGCTCCTCCTTCCTGCCCCCTCCCGCGATCACCTCCGCCTATACCGCACAAAACTGTGCCAGGCACCCAGAAGGGGGGGTGGGGGGTGGGGGGAAGCCAAAGGAAAAAATTTAAGTCTGAGGATTAAGATCTTCTTTTTTTTTTTTTGCTTGTGCATTCCAATTGTTCTTAAAATATTTGGCAATGTCAATTAGTAACTGAGCAGAGTTAGCTGATGAACACAATTTTCCAGTAGACTGAGCACCCTATTGTTGCCGAGCGAACAGCAGATTTCTGAGGTCATTATCATTCGCTGGTTGCTTGGCCCAGCTGCTTCCTGCTGCAAAAGCCAAACTTTATACTGGAGCTTGGGGATGGCGTGCAGCAACAGGGGGCTGGGAGGGGGAAGAGGGGAGTTGGCTGCAGAGCGAAGACAGTCATTATCAGTAGAGGAAACAGAAAGTAAAAGTTTCCAGGCAATTCCAGGAAAACTGCCCTATCAGGCTTCTCCCTCCTGGTTTTTTCTCCTCCTCCTCCCCACCCCCCACAAGTACCTTCCACCTCCAGGCAGGGAATTAAAAGGACCTGAGATGCCCCTAGGCATTGTGACAACTAATCTCTTCACAGAGCAGAACTTTGGAAAACAATAATCCCATTGACAAATTTACTTAAAAATTGTTAACCCAATCAAAGGCATGTGAGTGATTTCCTCATGGACAGAGCCCTTCATTTTTATGAAAAACAGAAGAAACAAATGCCGTTTTTTTCACAGATGAAATTAGTAACTTGAAATTAGTACATTTGGGAGAGACAATAAGGGAACATTCTACGATTTTCCAGAGAAATCTTTTAAGCGCTTAATAGCCTGAGCTTCCTTGCAAAATCAAATTCCTTGTGGAGGCTGCCCCTGCCCGCTGGCCTCCCTTGCTTCTGCACACCCCACCCCCGTTCCTTCCTCACCCCCCAATTGGGAGCTGGATCCCAAAGGAAAAGCTGCATTTTTCAAAGTTCAGGCAGGACCCCCAAGCCACATGCAAATCCCTTTGCCCTATATGACCGTATTCCCAGAGTCTGGTGGAAGAGATGGAAGTGTGGGCATGAGGTCCCCGCAGACCAGATATGCTGACTTGGAGCTCAGATGGCAGAGGTCAGAGGTCCAGGAGACCTTCCTGGGTCTACCCATGGCGTTCCTTTGGACTTCTCTCAATCTACCTCCTCCTGACAGGGATCTGGTGAGTGCCACCAGCAGCAACTTTG